AGTAGCTGGGACTACAGGCACACACTACCCTGCCCAGCTAATTTTTGTATTTCATATAATAATGATTCTGTTCTGACTTCTTGACACTACCGTTATTTCAGGGACTTACTTTTAAAGCTTAGACAGGACTATGGAACACATCCCAGATGTGAGAACTGGATTAATACTGAGCCCACAACCTAATCCATTAAACCAGAGCAGCACATTTTTGTCCTAGAGTCCTCTGGGAATGTATTTCAGCAGGCATTAACTGAACCACCTCACTAAGGCAAAGGTATCCTTATATAAGCCAAGTGTCAACTAGCAGAGGGAGGAGCAAGAGTCTCCCCAACCCGTCTGAGAAATAGCTGCAGATATTATAGTAACCACGTCTAATCTTTGAGGGTTATAGGTTCTGAAACCCTCCATAATAGGAGAATTTGCAGTTGTGAAACAAAATTTCAGGAGACCAGAGGGGAAGAGGACCAAAGCTGCAATGAATACATGAAAATTTATATAAATATTAAGTTCACCAAGAAAGCAACAACAACATCTGAAATCAAGATAATACCAATGACATCTTATGCATCTTGAATTTGCACAATTGAGCATTGTACAAACTGCACTATCTCATGACTCATTACATCTTATATCACGGGAGAACCCTGGGACCCTGGAGACTTTGATGAGTCATGATGGAATGCAGAGCCCCAAAATAGCTTCCCATAGTGAACTTGGCATGCCAGCCCAGCTAGGCCCTGGCCAAGCTCAGGGCTAGAATGCCCAAGGAGATATTTTTCAAGCCCTGAATGACACTCCACTGGAGGGAACAGGCCTGATTAGAGACTGGAGTTGGGTGGTACTAGGCAAAACTGCTGGTTCCAAACTGGGAAAACAAGACTTCAGTAATTCCACAAACTTCCAATTCTGTGGCTCACTCTTATAGTGGGTGGCATTTTCTGGAGTGAGGCTGGATGGTACCTGGGAGTCTGGAGGCTCTTCTGGCTCTCATGATATGGAGGGTTCAGCTTCTTAACACCCTTGCAGCTCTGACTCCAGTAGTGGGACATATTTTGGTGAAGTTAGAGAAGTAAGAGAAATAAGGAATGGTATGTGGGTATGTGTGTGTGTTTTCTGTCTTTTGTGATGTTCAAACAGGGAGTCAGTAGGTAGAAATGACTCAACTGGAGAAGGATGTTCTCATGCTAACAGAAGTGCTTATCCAACCTGAATACTTGAAATCATGCACATTGCCTTTGGAGCAACATGAATATGCTAAGAGAGATACTTCCTAGTCAAAATGTATCACCATGAGTTCTCCTGACCCTTAAAAATTGACACCAAGGTTTCCTTTCTTTTCAGGTCCTCAAGTATGTTCCATGTAATGAAGCACAATCATTACAGCTCTCGATTTGGCAGCAAACTTGGGCTGCAGTGCATTGGTATGCATGAGAAAGGCATCATATTTAACAACAATCCAGATCTCTGGAAAACAACTCGGCCCCTCTTTATGAAAGGTAAGCAGGCACTTAGCTATAATCTTCTTTTTTGTCTATGAATGTGCCTTTGTTGAAATCGTATTTTATTTTTTAAAAAATATTTATTTATTTATTGAGATGGGGTCTGACTCTGTCACCCAGGCCAGAGCAAAGTGGCACAACCTTGGCTCACTGTAGTCTCTGCCTCCCAGGCACAGGTGATCCTCCCACTTCAACCTCCCAAGGAACTGGGGCTACAGGTTTGCACCACCACACCTGGCTAGGTTTTGTATTTTTTGTAGAGTTGGGGTTTTGCCACGTTTGAGATCAGGCTGGTCTCGAACTGCTGGTCTCAAACAATCAACCCGCCTCAGCCTCTCAAAGTGCTGGGATTACAGGCGTGAGCATTACCATGCCCAGTCTGAAATCATATTTTGAATTCTACTGCATCACAACTTTCAAATAATAAAGGTGGAAGAGCTAACATACATTATACCTTTACTCTATAGTAGCCATTGTTCTAAACACTTGATATTTTTATCCCATGGCAGCCCCTTGTGGTAAATGTTGTTATCATCTACAATTGACAGAAAATGAAGACATAAAGAGGTTAAGTAACTTGCCCAAGATCCAACCCTAAGTAAATAATGGCCCAGAATATAATCCCAAATCCTATATTTTTTGATCACCGCAAATTCTTTTCTTCTTATTGATGTGCAAAGCAATTTTATGGGCATAAAGAAGAGATGAAGCTATATAATTACAGTCATTTCAGTTATGAATTTAGCATGTCACCCATATGTTTCATTTAAACATGGCCAAATAATGTGTTTGCTGAGTCCTTGACTGACAGCCCAGATGATTTAGCGGAAAGGAATCTGTGAATGAAATTAGAGAATTTTAGAACTGAGAAGGACCATATATGTTGTCTCAACTAGCCTCTGATTTTAATAGCTGAGGAAATAAAGTCCCAAAGAAGTTATGATTTTCACCCAGGCAAAATAGGGAGTAATGGATAAGCTGAGACCCAGTTGCAAGCCTCCTTATCCAGTGATTTTTCCCCTTTACCTCACCATGCTGGAAACAGAACTGTTGGGGAATACACATGACTAACCCCTGACATTACTATCAAGCATCAAGAAAGATAATCATGCCCTGGAAACGCTAGTGATAGAATCTGGGGCTAGATGATTTTAGGTCTGGCCCTGTCTATGTACAGCCTTCCCTCCAGCAGCTTGTGCTGTGAACCTAGCTAGCCACCTTCTGTGTGACTGCTAAGATAGGAAGAGCTATGCCAGGACCTGGGCCCCCTGGGTGTTGAGCCCAGCCTTCAGAGCTGCCCCTCACCAAGACTCAGCACAACTCTTGCTTCAGACCCCAGAGTATCACTTCCCTATTGCTGCTGTAACAAATTACCACAAACTAAGTGGCTTAAAATAACACATTTATCTCACAGTTTTATAGGTCAGAAGTCTGACATGGATCTCAATGAGCTGAAAATCAAGGCACAGGCAAGGCTATGTCCCTTTCTGGGGGCTCTAGGAAAGAGCCTTTCTTTGTCTTTTCCAGTTCTAGAGGCCACCCACATTCCTTTGCTTGTGGATCTTTCCTCCAGCTTCAAAGCCAACAACAGTGGGTTGAGTCCTTTTCATGTTACGTCTCTCGGACCCACCTTCTGTCATCCCATCTTTCTCTGGCTTTGACCTCAGCTGGGAAAGGTTCTTTGCTTTTAAGAACTCATGATTAGGTGTGAGAACTCACCTGTTCTCAAGGTCCTTAACCTTAGTCATATTTTCTAAGTCCCCTTTTTCATGTAAGGTAACATATTAGTAGGTTCTGGGGATTATGACATAGACAAATTTAGGGTGCTATTATTCTGCCTATCACTCATGTTGGGGGAGATAAATCTCCTTATAGCTTACAAAACTATGGAATGCATTAAAGGAAAAAGTATAGGACTCAGTATTACGGGTTATGGGTTCGAGTCCCAGCACTGCTACTTGCTAGCTATGTGACCTCAGGCAAGTCACTTTGCCTTTCTGAGTTTCAGTTCCCCTATCTAAAAAAGGTGATAAACGTTATAAAACTTGCACTCTAGGGCTACTGTGAAGAACAAATGAAATAATGCTGTCAGATCCCATAGAAATGTACATTTGACTTTTTCATTGGACTCAGGTGTATTAGGAATATGTGAACTAGTATTTAGGAGTAGTTAATTTTACATACCAATATCCTCCAGGCTGACATGCAAGAGCTAATTAAAAGAACCTCTAAGTTCATTCATTTAACAAATTACTGTTCTTATCATTAAACTCAGTACCAAGATACAGTTACAAACAAGATGCCGTTCCTGACCTCAAGGAACTTTTAATGGGGGAGTTGGGGTTGAATTAGGAAGAGGCAGCTCAGCACATCACCAAATACCACCCTAGGTGATGGTAATACTGGCGGTGTGCACAGAGTGATGCCAAGTACAGATGAACAGGGCCTCTAAAGCACACTCAGGGACAAGAGAGACTTTTCAGAGGAATGCATGCTTAAATGAGTTTTAAATGAAGGTAGAAGCTAATTGAGAAAACAAAGGACAAACATTCTAGGAGTAAAGAACAGGATATTCAAAGGCACAGATGAATAGATAATAGATAGACATGACACATCCAGGGACCTGTCAGTAAGCCCTTGTGCCCAGTGCAGACACATTCAGGGATGTGGCCAAGGGGAGGTCAGGGCCAGGTCACCAAAGACCTCTCAGTTAAGGCAAAGAATTGAGCTTATCTCAAAAGCCATGGAGAATTACTAAAGATTTTAAGCAGAATGACATGAACATATGTATATTATAAAAATCCCTCTGGTAGCAGAGTAAATGACTGATTGGAAGGAAGTAGGACTGTGAGCAGTGAGAACATTTATGAGCTACTGCAGTGATGCAGGAAGGGTGGAGTGGAGGCTGTGGGTTCAAGAGATGTCAAAAGGGTAGACCCTACAGTAGTAGACCCTACAGTACTTGGAAATTAGGCAAAACATCTTTGTGACTTTTTTTTAGATAGCCTTCTATATGGAAGATCAGGGTTTCTACAAGAAGTGCTACACAACTGGACTCAAATTTATAATGCCAAAAAATAAGGGGCTAATTACTTATTGGAAAGTTCACTGTGATGTCTGACATTTCTGTAATAAATGGGAGTCCTAGGCATTTTTCAATGAATCTCCTCTTAGACTCCCCGTTGGTTTTCCTGATATAGTAGAAAGTCTGACACAAGTTTTGGTATCTAAATCAGTAACATTAATTAAAGTATTGACTTACTGGGTGAGTCTGTAGGGAAATAATTAAGTGCAACTTAGGCAATGGTCCATCTTGGGAGGTGGGGAAGCATGGGGGCGAGGGGTGAAAAAATAGCATGTTTTTCCCAAAACTGCCAAGAAGTGTGTCCATGTTGATGATATTTGCTGATTGCTTGCCCAATTTTCATTTGACTGGATAGATTCAATACTTTTTGGCACATTTTAAAAATTAAATCATATCTATATCATACCACTATAAGCAATGTTATTACATTTTTGCCTATAAGTTTGGAATGTGGCTTCAAACTCTTTAACATAGAGGCAAATCATGCATTGGCCTGGGAGAAATCCGCAAGTGACATTCTAAGCCAACCATTCCACACAAAGCATTGAGCCATTTGTCCTGCTTGCTGAAGTGGCAGTCACCCAGAGAACAACATCCTGGCCTTTCACATCTGCCAAGTCCTTCCTATGGTCAGAAAGCCTGTTCCTACCTCAACCTTCCTTCCAAGATGTACGGAAATCTTAAAAGTCTAGGACGAGTACTCAGGCTTCCTCAGGCTTCCTTTCTTATTTGCAAAGTATACCGTTAGGCATGGGGGTTCTACACCTAAACCTCTGTGTGTGTGTGTGTGTGTGTGTGTGTGTGTGAGAGAGAGAGAGAGAGAGAGAGAGAGAGACAGGATAGTCTTCTTCTGGAGTTACATCTACAAAGTTTCCCAACATTTTTCATCCCATTTCAAAGACTGACGTTAATAGCAAATCTGAATAATAAAAGACTTAAAAAGAGAGATTACTCCTAAAAGAAGCTTAAAGAAACTTAAGACATAGGGAGAAAGGGGCACCTTAAGGGTTAAACCCTCCTGTGTAGGCCACCTTCCATCAGGACCCACAAGCCACTGCTCAGATGGTCAGGAACAGGGCAAGAGTGAGATCAGAGCCAGTTTATTCTGTTTTCATTCATTCATTCATTCCTCTATGGGAAAAAAATATGTATGAGGGCCCCTATGGACCATTAGCTTGAAGTGCAATGCTAATGAGCAGCTTTCACTGTCCTTAGAGAGCCCTCAGTTCAGTGAGAGAAGACTGGTAAGCAAGCAAGGAATTGCTTAGCTGCCATGCCATTGGTTGAGTAAAATAAACCTGGAAGTAGTGTGAAGAGAAATCAAAATTCAGAGAAGGGCACTTTGGGGGATTTATACGACTAGTCTTTTACACTGAAACAGGAAGCACCTTAGATCAAATAGTTAGGATCCAATTTGACCAGTTTTGCAGGAATATCCTGCCACCTGTTGAAACACAAAATAAATATGACTCTAGGCAAATCCAAATCATCTTTAGAGGGAAATGTATACAATAAATATGAAATATTACTGATTTGTGATTTATGACCACAAGTACTAAATGTTTCATTTGCAATCTCGTAAATAACTGGCTAGAGCATGAAGAAAAGTTTAATTTTTAATAGTTTGTTTAAATTAATACTTATCCCTACTTTCCTTCAACTCATCATTCTTAACCATAGGATACATGATTATGGAAAATTAAGAGACCACACAAAAGCATAAGAAAAGATTATGAAAATTTCCACCCAATTATTAAATAAAAAATTGTGGACAATTAAGTTCCAACATAAAAAGCCAAAATGGCCTGATGTGTGTGTGCCCTGGAGTTCATGATGCCTGATTCTCTGATGTGTACCCTGCAGCTCTGTCAGGCCCTGGCCTTGTTCGCATGGTCACAGTCTGTGCTGAATCCCTCAACACGCACCTGGACAGGTTGGAGGAGGTGACCAATGAGTCAGGCTTCGTCGACGTGTTGACCCTCCTGCGTTGCGTCATGCTGGACACCTCTAACATGCTCTTCTTGAGGATCCCTTTGGACGGTACTGAAATTTTCACTCTTGCATCTGGACCTTCTGTCCTTTATTGAACAAGGGGCTAGGAGGGATAGCAGACCAAAGGAATCATATGTCGTTTTCTACATTGCTCTTGTTGAAACATTTCTAAGTGCTCCTGGGTTTTTTTTCCCTGGTGTTGCTGCTTTGTTCACGTATAAAATATAAATTTCCATAAAGTAGGAGCCAGCATCTATTTCTTTTGTGTCTCTCTTCATTGCTCTAGGAAATAGAATTCTACCTAAAGTTGAAACTTAACAAATGTGTTAGTTCATTTAGTTATTACTATATCCTATTACTAATCAACTTGATATATTTAACCATTTCCAACTGTTCTTTTGAGCATGATATATATATACATATATACATATACATATACATACACATATACACACATCCCTCCCTCAAAGCTACCAAACATGAAAGCATTGTGTCTATAAAATAAAAACGTCAATACTGCTGGTGACACTGATGCTGATGGAAATTATAATATTAGCTGCCATTAACATAGTATCTAATGTGTGTGCCAAACAGTATTAAAAATTGCTGTATATACATGTTTGCCATTTATTATTTATAACCTTAACAAGAGGTCTCACTCAAAAGGCTGCTTTCCCCACTATGATATAGAAATGAATATCAAAACATGTGCATGCTCATGTCAAACTCATAGAACTTGATTTTATTTTGGCAGGATTAAACCAATTTGCAACTGCCAGAATTTCAGCTAGTCCTTAAAAAGTTGTGCCATTGTGCAAAAGTCCTTGAATTCTTTGATAACTTTTTAACCTAATGATCAAATACCTGACAGGAATGGAATGGACTTATACCTAATTGTTTCACACTGTTTTCTATGGGTTACATTTTTCATTGCCATTGTGATCTTTATCCACACACTCACTCTGTAAAATGAATTCACTATTCTGATTTTGTACTCATCTATAAGGGATTCTGACAGATTCTGACTTGTAGTAGTTTACCTGGAAAGTATAGGAATTAAAAAATTGGCATTCTTTCCAGTATACCTTTTTTATTTTTTTCTTAAATACATTTATATTATGTACTACTCTTAAAGAATGTTTTAGTCTCCATTTCAGTAATCTGTGCATAAGGTTACTAATATGCATGCACAAAGAAAAATTCAAAAGCCCATTCGGGTATATTTTAGAACATTATTTACCACTAAATATTTATATAGTTGACATAATGCTTACTATAATAATAATAGAATGGTAACAGAATTTTTTTTTTTTACTTCTTATCCATAGGCATTGGCTTTATATTGCCTCAAGAGGAGTAGAATTTATTAAACAAGATTCCTAAATCCATAACTCGTATTGTGACTTCATACATTTTGTAACCCTAATAGTGACTATACCCTAAAAACCTATAAATCCCCCAAATCACTCTACTGATTTAAAAAAAAAGTGCATGCAACTCTACCATCACCAAAAAGCAAACAATCATTTGAGTAGTTTGGTGGTTGCCAGAGGGCAGGAAGGGTAGTGGGGAGAAAAGAGATGAAGAAAAGTTGATTCATGGGTACAAAAATATAGGGAAATAGAAGAAACAAGATCTCGTGTTAGATAAATCAGTGTAGTGAAGAAAATAAATAATAATCTATGTATAACCAAACAGCTAGTAGAGAATAACTTGAATGTTCTCAGCATAAAGAAAAGATAAATGTTTAAGGTGATGAATATCCTCATTACCCTGATTTGGTTATTACACATTATACAAATGTATAAAAATATTACATGTACCTCTAAATATGTATATCTGTTATATATCAATAAAAAAGTAATCATTAGGATTAATTCCATTCTTCTGTTGACATTAAGTATGTACAACTCAATGTGACTTTTCCTGAATTAGCTTACACCAGTATTTGTTGATTCATACATTCATTTATCAAATACTTGATTGCCTACTTTATGCCAGGCACTGTTGTGGGTTCTGGGGACATAATAGTCAACTAGACAGATAAAGTTCTTGCCTTCAAGTTCTTGCCTACATTCCAGTGGGAGATGTGTACAGAAAAAAAAAATCTAATAACATATTAGGCAATGTTAAGTGCCTTGAAGGAAAAATGAAGCAGGGCAAGAGGATAGGAAGTGTGAAGGAGGGCGACAGTGGGCGTGGGCATGGATGTCATGGAGAGGTGGTCAGGAAAGGTCTCTGCAGAGAAGACGTTTGGCCGTAGCTCAAATTTGTTGAGGCCACAAGCCACAAGTAGATTCGAGGGTAGAACACTTCAGGCAGAGGAACAATGCATACTTTTAACATTTGCTCCAACCAACTGACCTGGAACACATGCTGCCTGGTATACCACACTTGGACACATAGACAAGCTATAAGTCCTCCCTATTTACTCATCTCTCCTACTCCAACTACTCCATACAAGAGCTGTAGAAACTTCATCTGATGGCCATTTGGATGGCAGCCTTCAATCACTTGAAGAATTTTTAGTCAAACTATCTCACCTGATCTCTTTTCAGGCAGGGATGCCACTCCCAGGTTGCCTGTTCCTACAGACATCACTTCTAAAGTGAGACAGGCATATATTTTACAAGTCCAGGCTCCCTGGTCCCCCTCTAGCCTTGCTCATTAGGAAGGATCATGTAAAAGGAATTGTAAATCTCTCCATTCATTTTTGGATCCAGACTGTGATGCTGGCAAACCTGTGAAACCCACAGTTACATAATCCCTTTTCACAGGGGTCCATGTTGAACTCTCAATTTGCCTAAGGGATCCAGTGCAAGAAAGAGAAAAAGACATGGTCCTGAGGTCAGACAGAACCAGCTCCAGCCTCAGGGCCTGCCTGTCAGCCACACTAGCTGTATGGTTTTGGGCAAGCTTCCGAATTTCTATGAATTACAATCTCTTCAACTGCAAAAGGATGACACCACAACGGCCATGGCAAGATTGTAAAGATTAAATTAAAAATCTCTTTCACAAAGCGCCTAGCATGATGACTAGTATTCAGCAGTTGAAAATAAGTATCTGTTCCCTTCCCTTTTGTATATTAGCTGGTATAATTTGAAAAAGCAAGGGTTTTCTTCCCTCTAGTATTCAATTTAATTAAAGAGCATTCATTAAGAGCTGATTGTACAGGAGGCTTAGGACAAGGCATTGAAGAACACAAGAAGAATTCTACGCTCTGGACTGAATTTAAATAACTATGAAAGCTATGTGATGAGTGCTATAGGGAAAAGTGAATAAAGCACCATGAGAACACGATTAGAAGCTATTAAGTGTGTACTCCAGGTAAACTGTCCACTTCATGGCTCTGCTTACCTGACACCAAATGAAGTTAAAATGTGGTTGTTAGCCACCTACCAGGCTCTGCTTTTTGCCCTCCCAGTTACCAGTGTGATGGCCATATCAGCCATAGTTACTAGTTCCATTTGTCCAGAGAAACAGGAGCTAGTTAGAAGCGCAGCCCAAGGAGGATATGTGAGATTCTAGGCTGAAAACACAAACTTGAAAACTGGCAACTCATTGCCAATGTGGATGGCAAGGAGAAAAAATCAGAGCTTGATTTGTCCTGTAGTATTCACATGGCTAAAGCCCCTACTGAAGATGAAAACTTGCTTAGCTTAGAACCTTAGCCTGTTAGGACAATCTACAGGGAATGTTTTCTGCACAGAGCACCCCTCTTAGGCTCACATTTTGTTCAACTGCTTTCTTCTGTGTGTGGTTTTTTTTTCTACAGAAAGTGCCATCGTGTTTAAAATCCAAGGTTATTTTGATGCATGGCAAGCTCTCCTCATCAAACCAGACATCTTCTTTAAGATTTCTTGGCTATACAAAAAGTATGAGAAGTCTGTGTAAGTAATACAACTTTGGAAGATTTATGAGTACAATTGGATTGGTGTTTTACCCTTGTGTCTTTGCTGTTTTTTTTTTTTTTTTTTTTGGCCTCTTTGGTAACTTTTCTGCTCTCTGGAGCCCACAAGGAAGCTGTTGGTTAAGTTTCTGATTAAACACTTTTTACAGCAGTTTGGCTGCATTTGGCCAGACCAGAGAGTAAAAGCCTTTGGCTGGACAGCTTCTTAGCAAGGGGGCTGAGTATGTGGTCTGGGAGCTTCAACTTGGGAACTAGTACACACTAGTGTATTTTGAGTTGAAGAGAGGGGTTGACTGATCCTGTCATTAATATCTGTCAAAATTCTCTTTGCGCATCTGAAAAACTGGAACCACAGAATCAATTTATAGTTGTGCTATTTTTTAATGAATTTAACATAATTCAACTTGTAAGAACTGACAATAGTCTCAATAGAATTTTTTCATAATGAGTTTAGTTAACTTCAATAAAAAGTGTGTGGGTTTTTAAAATTATGTATCTTGTGTTTTGAGGGTCCTGAAATTGTCATCAAATGGCTTTGTTTTGGTCTTAGAATCCTCCAGCAGAAAGCTAGACAAATGCCCAGTGGCCTACAGACTAATCAATAGATTTGTAGAGTACAAGTAGCCAGTCAGTAAACACTGCTACCTCTAACCACCAGTAAAGAGCCTATGGAATCTAGAAGCAGAAATCCCTACTTTGTATCCTGTTTCTAATGGCCTTGGGAAGTTATTCAAAATAAGATATAACCTTTCTTCTGGAGTGAGGGCATAGGTTAATGAGATCGTATAAGTAAGGCAATTAGCAAAGAGCATGGCATATAGTAGGCACTAAATATGTTAGTTTCTCCCTTCCCTGTGTTCATATCTTCCTCAGATGTTCCTAACCATCTCAAGTTCTCCATCTCTAAATGAACCCAAGCTTGTCTGAAGACCTAACTTTATTCTGCTTGTGGATTTTGAAATTCATTAATATTAGTTTCTAGAGAAGAAGCCAACTTGATGTTGTTTTGTTTATTCTCTCGTGGTTGATGAGTACTAGGTGAATGTTTTAGACACTTGGTTCTTTACACATTTCATTTCTACCACAGCTTATTGTGACTTGAAAAAAAAAGATAAAAGATGCATCTCTTTACTGTGATCAGAGTTGGTGGCAGTGGTAGTGGTCTGAAGAGTTCATTATATAGCTCTTAGTCATTAGTTTAGCCTTGGTCTTGGGCAATGGACCCATAGAAACTTATTGTATGAGTCTGTATAAGGGTTTCTCTGAGGTTTCTGCAGTTCCATCAAGGAACTCTCTGTGAATTTAGAGGCTAGAGGTATTCCAACACCTCCTAGACCATTTGGGGCTAGTGCTCAGATAGGAATGCTACGAGCATTCTCAGCCTACTAGGAAGAGGGCACCACAGCCCAACGGAATGAATATCTGTTCTTTGTATATAGGAGATGCTCAGCAAATATTTGATGAATGCATGCATAAGGAGGGTATTTCAGTGTATAGATGAACATGCAACTTAGAATTTGAAAGACAGATTTTTTGTACCTTTAACATAGTACAGAACATTGTTCCCTGGGATAAGGGAATAATATGCTGAGAATGAACACATACACTGAAGGACAGAGACAAGAAAAATTGAATTTAGATTCAAGGTGACCTTATTTTTCATCTTGTCTGGTCCCTTCACTTTAAAAGGATGTAGAGCCCAGAGATTTAAGGTAGCTTACATAGAAAGAGAAGAACCTGAACTGGGACCTGACCCCACCCCATCCAGGTGTTCTTTCAACCACACTGCCAAGATGCATATAAATTTTTATGCAGCTAGTCATTCAACATATATTTACTTAGTGTTTACAATGTGGCAGAAACTAGTGAGGCATGAGAATAAATATCAAGAAAAATACCTAGTCACTGGAGTTTACTGTTTAGAACAGGAATCTCAAACTCCACAGTCTTCAGGGCTAGGCAAATAAAAGCAGGCTATGGGGGCTGGGAGCAGTGGCTCATGCCTGTAATCCCAGCACTTTGGGAGGCTGAGGTAGGCAGATCACCTGAGGTCAGGAGTTTGAGATCAACTCGATCAATATGGTGAAACCCTGTCTTTACTAAAAATACAAAAAATGAACTGAGTGTGGTGGCGGGCACCTGTAATCCCAGCTACTCAGGAGGATGAGGCAGGAGAATACCTTGAACCCAGGAGGCAGACGCTGCAGTGAGCTGAGATCATGACACTGCACTCCAGCCTGGGCAACAAATTGAGACTTTGTCTCAATTTTGGAAAAAAAAAAAAAAAAGCAGACTATAGGAATGTAAGACAAGTAAATGAAGGTACCTGTGGCAAACTGAAGAGTACATGACAGCATTCACAGGTTTGTTTTCGTTTTTTTAATTTAAACTTTGTGCCCGCCAAATCAGAAATTGAAAAACATTGTTAGATTTAGCCTTTTGGTATCAGTTTTTAACCCTTAGCTAGAAGTCACAGCCTTGATTTTGCTACCAGTATCCTAACCAGAACTCTTGGCTAACTGGCACCTTAACATGAAGTATAAGGTCTATGTAATTTAAGGGTATTTATGAAGAAATAAAACAGTAATTCACTTACTCATAAGCACCAATGAATTCAATTAAAGCAGATCGTTTTACCTAAACACATGGCAAATAAATCTGTTTTGCTAGATGTCTAAACTGAGTACAAACAGACTATATTTTGACTTTTTTTCCAGCAAGGATTTGAAAGATGCCATAGAAGTTCTGATGGCAGAAAAAAGATGCAGGATTTCCACAGAAGAGAAACTGGAAGAACATATAGACTTTGCCACTGAGTTGATTTTAGCCGAGGTATTGACCTGAACTAACCATAATTCCCATGCCAAACACATTATAACTGTGTAGAAGTGTGTAAAGATTCCCTTTTGTAACTGTTGCATATTTCTGCTTTTAAATACTTTCTCTAGCAGTTTTGTAATCCCAATCCAAATAGCCCACACATTAGATATTTCAGTCAGACCTTTAAGATTGAAACATTCTAGTAAGACTGACTACTAAGCTTGTGACTCCTCTGTATCACAGTATAAAATATGAAAACAAGGTGGGGGAGCCCAAAGACACTATATACATAGACAATCAGCCGCGTTGTACATCTTTCAGCTCAAGGTTGTCATGTAGAATGTCCACAGTCAATCACAGAGACATGTGGTTTCTATGATTTCATTTTGTTGAGACTGTTGATCATTGAGTGTAACCTCCCCTCATTTTTTGAAACTTTGATTGACTTTTCCAAATTTTTCCCGTCTTCCAATTGTTCAGAAACGTGGTGACCTGACAAGAGAGAACGTGAACCAGTGCATGTTGGAAATGCTGATTGCAGCTCCTGACACCATGTCTGTCTCTCTGTTCTTCATGCTATTCCTGATTGCAAAGCACCCTAATGTGGAAGAGGCAATAATGAAGGAAATCCAGACTGTTGTTGGTAAGAATTTATCAAATAAATAATACAGCTTAAAAAAACAATTTCTTCTGAATGTTTTTTCTTATGCCCTAAGAATCTGATATCAAACATAATTTTTTTTATAATTTACTCCAAACAATATAGCAAGACATTCTGTCACGGGTGATTATACCAGATAGACTGAAAAGATAGTTCTTTCTGCATTTTTAATCATAAAAATAATACATGCTCATTGGGAGGAATTTAAACCACGGAGTGACATGTAAAGCCGTAAGTGACATTCCCCCCAATCCCTTCCACTCTCCTCTCCAGCAACCATTGTTAATAGTTTGCTGCGTGTTTGTTAAGATCTTTTTCTATGTGCCCACAAACACATACTTATGATTGGATTTGTCTATTTTACAAAAACATGGGGTCATATATAATGTTCTGCCTACCTTGTCAGTTACAAAAGACTTCTGCATCTCCCAGGGAAATGATCATCTATCACTTATAGCAGTGTTTCTGGGCTTCAAGCAGCCCATTCACAAATGAACTTCCCATTTGCGGCAGAAGAAAGAGGCGAGGATGACAGCAAAGACGGGAGGGATAGAATTTCCCTTTCCACTCCAATCCAGTGATGCTGGCCCCTTCCTTTCCCCTGCCCTCTCCTCCTCTTCAGGGGAGCTCCCAGGACCACACTCAGGTCTTCCCCAATTCTACCTCTTCATTGTGCTGCCTCAGCTTCAGTTTCATCCTGCTCCACTGTTCTACAGAAACAATGCCACCTTAGAAAGAAATCAAACTTGCTTTCTGGGAGAACGCAGAATTCCTCATTTGATATTTCCTTCACATGAGTAATCTTTTAGGAACACATTTCTTACAGATGTGAAGAGATATCACAGAATGTAAATTTCCCTCTCTTTACACAGTCCCTGCAAAACAAGTTATTTGCTTGTAGAAGGGCATCATCTTTTTCAAACCATTGGAGTGCTGCTTGAAATAGTTAAACATAAGGGGAAATTTCATTGAAGGGTTAAATATGTGAGAAAAGGGATCTGCAGATGCCTCACACAGGTGGAAAAATTCCTGGCTAGGTAGAGAGCAATGAACCAGAATAACATCTGGACTCCAAATTTCAGAATGTTTTCTCAAGTGCCTCCTATCAGGCTCTCAGGTTCTGTGCCAGGTGCAGGGCTATAGCCCTGAACAAGCCAACACCATCGCTGCACTCATGTGCTCATGGGCTGGTGGGGAAAAGAAAACAAGCTCAATAAAGAAAGAGGGAAGGAGGGAGTTCATAAGCCTTTAATACACATTGAATACATTTATTCGAGAGGTGAAATGTGCGTGTACAAGTTGATGTTCCCGACACTTCAAAAAGCCTCTGCAAAGATGGAAAAGCAGCAGAGCCAACTGCAAATATCCATGCTCCCTCCTGTGTGCCACGCACAGACTCGGTAACTACTTCCTAGTGAGCACCTTTGGTCACATTCTCCATCATCTTCCTTTCTACTTCCCCACCCCAGATATACAGACCCCATTACCCTTGAGTGTGCCAAGGGGAAGGGCCATGAGAGTACTCTGACCAAACTAGACCTTTCCTCAGTGGCTTGGCTGTACAGGAGACAGGGCTGCCTCGGGACCGTGGGCTATTTTTGATTCTGCAAAAGTGGCATCTCTAAAGCTTTGCCATGTCTGGGAGTAATCTGAGCCTCTTAGACCAGTATCAGGCCAATCTGAGACAGTGGGGGTGTCCGTCAATCACCAACTCACCCACGGCTGATCTGAGGCACCTATTTTGTTGTGGGGGAGAAGAATGTCCTTGTCACTCTACTGCAGAAGATCTTCTTGATGAGATGCAGATGAACTATCAGTGACATGTATGAGCAGATGACTGCACAGGTAATCAGAGGAGAACATTTCATTGAAATGGATCAAATCTGCCATCTCACTTTGACTCTGCAGCAGCCTGTGCATCATCTCTGGGGTGGCTGTGGTGTCTGTTTGCTCACAAGTGAAGAGAGGAAATGAATGTTCCTTATAATTTAGAGCAGGGAACAAAAACTCAAAGGTTTCAGAAAGCAGGCAGATAAGATGAATGCTTGAAGCAGATTGGGTGCGTTCTAGACAGAACTGCAGGACATATGCCCCCTCTAAACAGATAATTGGTCACTCAGCATCAGCTCATTATTGCTATGTGGGAATGTAAGTTCAGCGTCACCAAGTTTTCTGGATATTCAGGCTTTTCTATAAAATCTTCCAGTTTTTAAGGGAATTGTCTTCCTATCTGAATTTTTACAAAACATTCTATGGACCAAGCATAACATATTTGGTCCTGGTTGCTGGTGTGCATTAGAATTAGAGCCATCATTTTTTTTAAACCATGAGCAAACTGTTCCGTGGAAAAAGTAGGAGCTTTAATGCCAATCACAGGTGGCATTAAACTAACATTACCTTCTTTATCCCTTTTTTCTGTTTTCAAAGGTGAGAGAGACGTAAAGATTGATGATATACAAAAATTAAAAGTGGTGGAAAACTTCATTTATGAGAGTATGCGGTACCAGCCTGTTGTGGACTTGGTCATGCGCAAAGCCTTAGAAGATGATGTAATCGATGGCTACCCAGTGAAAAAGGGGACGAACATTATCCTGAATATTGGAAGGATGCACAGACTCGAGTTTTTCCCCAAACCCAATGAATTTACTCTTGAAAATTTTGCAAAGAATGTAAGAGCCCTTCCTTAAAACTGAGTGTGCCACTCTTGAAAATGTCAGCGTTAAATCCTCTCTGGTTCTCTGTGTTTGCACCATAAACATTTCATTTTTCTTACTCGTTCCCCTCTGCCACCTCACCAGGAGCACACATGTCCCCTAGCTTGGAGCAGGGCTCCTGTATTCATCCTCAAGTCAAGGATTCTGGGTCTCCAGCTCTAAGAAGTAGCTGCATAGTGGCCACAAAATAGGTGAAAAAGCCAGGCCCTTAATTTGCTCAAAATGAGGTGATTTTTACTTAACCCAGTCAACCTACTTTTCCATTTAAACTTTGTCATGTCATCATATTTGGCTATAGCACCATCTGAGCAAAGGAAAGTCCATTACTGCTTCAGATGGAAATCAAACGAGACAAAAAGATTTGGTTTTTGCAAAGTGCCTTTGGTTCATCAAATGGCCCCATGAACAGCAGGTCCCATTCTAAACAGGGCTTACTAATTAGAAGAGAGTCCGTTTTTCTTTTTCTATGATTGATGTGTACTAGATATTCCACTTTCATTATGTCAAATTTTAGGCAATATGTTTTTCGATCTGAATTAAATAAGCAGTTCCCTAAGTGCCTTTTTTTCAATTTGCATATGGTGTAGAAACGTGATGCTACTTAATTCAGTATGCTAATTCATCTTGTTTCTACATAGGCAATCCAGATAATGCCATGTAAATCAGTCAATTGGTCAACAAAAATTTATTGAACATCTACTATATGCCAGGCAGTAAGTCCAGATGTGGACAAGACAGATGTGGTCCTCATTAATTTTCTACATAACTAAAAATAGTTCGATGATTAGCGCTGAGTAGGCCAGTAATCTACATCTTTGCTTGCTTTCGTCTCTTATTTGGTGCCACACAAAAATGATCTTTGCCTGACTGACTTGTAAAACAATAGTAAATCTGTATCTATTCCACAGAACTACCTGATTATACTAAAACTGGCTATAATAAGATGATTTGCATTGCTTTACCCCAGCACATGAAAGGCAAAACTGGGGACTCTTTGAGGCTGGATCTGTCTGTGTTGGATCACAAGGGGTGAATCAAACAGGACAGAGAAGGGGCTTATTTGAGTTCCAGTTGTCCATCTGAGGGGGTGGGGGGCATTGTGGCTGACACCCCAAAACAGAGTGTTCTGACTGACCAATATTTTCAGAATGAATCCAACAGAGATTAAATGACTCTAGCCTTTAATATTCTGGGTAACTGTCATTTTCACAGGTTCCTTATAGGTACTTTCAGCCATTTGGTTTTGGGCCCCGTGCCTGTGCAGGAAAGTACATTGCCATGGTGATGATGAAATCCATTCTCGTTACGCTTCTGAGAAGATTCCACGTGAAGACATTGGGAGGAGAGTGTGTTGAGAACCTACAGAAGACAAACGACTTGGCCTTGCACCCAGATCACACTAAAAGCATGCTGGAAATGATTTTTACCCCAAGAAACTCAGGCAGGTGCCTGGAACACTAAAGAAGGCCGGTCAGTACCAACTCTGAAGCATTTCTCATCAGTAGTTCACATATAAATCATCCATCCTTTCCAATAGTGTCATCCTCACAGTGAAATCTCAGTGACCATGATTTTATAGGCATACCTCCTGTGGGTTGTCAGCAAGCTGGGTGCTATTGGTCATCTGCCCCTATTCACACCAGAGAACCAGATTACAGGAGAAAAGGCAGAGGCCAAGAGTTTGAGGGAGAAATAGTGAAGAAACTGTATCCTTAAAGGCCCGATTCCACCAAAAGTGCTTTGAGAAGGATGGGCCTTCATTAGCAAAACGTATGTCTGGTTCCCCACTGGAGCTCTACTGCCTCACCCCAAGGGCATTTTTATGTCTAGGGCAGAAACACTCAAGTTGATTAGAAAGACCAGGCCAATGTCAGGGTACCTGGGTTCAAACACACATGCTATTGTGAATTAAAGTACTTTAATTTTGTTTTCTGTGGGAGTGGGACAGCAACATTCATACTCTTTGAAGAAATGCTTACAAATTCAGCATTTAACCCTTCCTGTGATTAAGCCCAATTAACTCCTGTTTGTGCACATATGATCTGTCTGTGGGAAAAGTTAAATCAGAGGAAATTATTTTCCAGTCTGTCAATTTATGCCTCAGCCATTTGCCTGTGCTCCAATTCATTGTATTACCTATAGATTCAAGTAATACAAGCTAATTTAGTAATAGCCTGGGTTAAGTATAATTAGGACCCTGTGTCTGCTGTAGAAAAAAAAATCACATGATATACTTCAAATAAAAATCCTTTTGGCATTTTCCATTGTTGCTTAACTCAATTAGTGTGGCTAACCAGGATATCATTGTAAATGTGGCATTGATTTGCTCTCACCACAGCTTCAGTGATTGGGAGAGGAAAAGTCCTCCACATCTGTATCTAATTCTACAACCCAGTGGGCTCAAACTTGTAAGGAATGCTCCTCTCCTCCCCTTATCCTTCTCCCTTGACATTTTCTCCCTCTTTCATCCCTTGACCCCAAAAGCCAGGGGCAACAGACACATAAACGTGGTCAGAGTAGAATCCCTGCAGTATTTTTTGATCCTATCTCAACTGTAACTGTTACCTGAGAGATTTAACGTTATCTAGCTCATAATTGTATGTGGTCATGGATAAAATACACACCTTGGAATTAGCTTTCTAAAGGAAATCAGATGAATGGATTAACTTTCCAAACACCACTTTACTTGTGTTATATAACCAATATGACTGTCTCTACTGAATGTCATTGAAAAACTGAAAAATTAAACTTATTTACAAATAGATAAACATTTGCAATTAAATCCATTGTCATCTCATTTAACTATTCTTTTCATCCTACTGTTTAGTAATAAGGCAACAGCTGAGTATAAAACAAGAGTATAATCTCCCTGAAAGCAGGAGCTACTTTCTTTCTTTTGTAATCCATCTCCATCCCTATCTCCCCATCCTGTCTCCCTGTATTCACTCCCAAGCTCAGTTCTGAATAGACTCTTCTGCTCAGAGATATACCCAACTGATGCAGAAACCAAGTAAAGAGGTAGCTATTCCAAGAATTTAAGAATGGACACCGGTAAAGAATAAAACGTTTATTGAACTTGAAATTATTTGGATCATCTATATGGCCTAAAAATATATGGACTGCGGGCACGGTGGCTCACATCTGTAATCCCAGCACTCTGTGAGGCTGAGGCAGGTGGATCATGAGGTCAAGAGATCAAGACCATCCTGGCCAACATGGTGAAACCCCGTCTCTACTAAAAATACAAAAATTAGCTAGGCATTATGGCGTGTGCCTGTAGTCCCAGCTACTTGGGAGGCTGAGGCACACTTGAATCCAGAAGGCAGAGGTTGCAGTGAGCCGAGATCATGTTATTGCACTCCAGCCTAGGGACAGAGCAAGACTCCATCTCAAAAATAAAATAATAATTAAAAAAAAAATATATATATATATGGACTTATACAGATGTATTCAGGTATACAGGCATAGTCCATATATATATACATATAAATATATACATATAAATATGTATGTATGGACTATGCCTGTGTACCTGAATACGTCTATAGATCTGTAGTCAGGTCTAGACTATCATTCAAATACTTTAGACCCCTGAAAGCAAGAAGCAAGGCCAGGATTTGAGATTTAACACGCCCAAGTTAATTCACTTGAAAATTAGTAACACTCTGTTTATATTTCCTCTGGCTGGAGCTGCATGGTGGAAGAAGCCCACCTTTGGATGCTTCACCCATCTAATACTCTTGGGACATTTATATGTATTTTACCTGTATATATATGTAGCGAAGATCTATGTCTACACAGTCAAAGTGAAATGAAAGTTTGATATAATTATGCTAGATAACTATTTTGCAGATATAAAAATATGCTGGGGGAAAACTGAGATTGGAGGGGTGGGGGTGGGAATGAGGGATATGGGGGAGGAACAGGAAGAGGGGAAGTGTTGGTTTGAAAGATCCAAGCAAACTCTCCCAGAATCAAATTACCTGGGTAGTTGTTTAACTTTTCACTCGGCTCGGTCTGTAAGACAAACCTCATATGTTTATAGAGGCTTGGCCTATGAACTTTGGAATGCCATTGGCTTTTCAGTAGGCCGTTAAACACGTATTTGAAAATGCTATTATCTCTTCAGAATTCTGCCTCATTGTTAAGTGCTTAACTGTCACTCTTGAATGTGCAATGTGCTGTGGATTCCATTTTCATCAGTTCCCAAAGAACTGAAATGTGTACATTATCAGTGAAATGCATGTATATAAGGGCTCTATCATTATCAAATTGTAAGGACAATTGTACCCTTCTATATCCTCTGGTGTACTAGACACCCCCATGCCTTGATTGAGATCCCATGCTCTCCTCTCAAGTGGAAATAATCACATCCAGCAAGCTCTCTCATTATTGAGAAATACCACTTGGAAATTGCCACTTTTTATTCCTAAGCAGCACCCTTCACTGTTCATAGTGCTAATATTCCACAAAAGCATGTGCCATTGGCCCACTGAAGAATGGCTGGACCCTTTTCAGTCTGTATCAGCTGGGCTCTGGCATGGAACCTCTCACTTGTTCTTGCAGAAAGACATACTAAATTAAACCTTGTGAAAGTAGTAAGTCAAATGGAGCGTTTGACGCTTTCAGTTGCTCTTAGCTCAAAGAACAAAGTCAAGGGCTTAACCCTTCAGGGCTCAACCCTGTCAGGGCTTACCTGTTTCAGCTCCCTCATTTCCTTTTTGCAGCTTATAGCAGGTATTGGCCTATTCTAGGAAGTCAAAGACCATAACCCTGTTTCTACCAGGTCAACAAGATAATGGAATGTATTTACACAAGACACCCCATTCATCAAGTCCAGCCCATTAAGTATATTTTACCTCTCTCTCTCCCATCAAGAAAACATTTCAAAGCGCAAAACAAATGAGAATCATAAGAATACAATGATAATTATAGGAAGAGAATCATAAGAATACAATGATAATTATAGGAATAACCTGAAATCCACTGTTATTTATAACCAAAAGCAAATGTTTCACAAACCTCAGTATTTTAACTCATTAGCAAAACATTTGTTGTAAAGAAGGTCTAAATAGAGGCATGGTAGCTGACTCCCTGTGGTTCAGGTAATTTTTAGTTCCTTTTAGCTTTGCAACTCCATGAATAGGGAGGCAGTGGAGCCCTGAATCTGGGCTCAGACTTTTCATAAGGAGATGCTTTTGACAAGCTGTTTCATCTCTCCATATCACAGTTTTCACATCCGTCCAGTGGGAATAATAATTATCTCATAAGCATTGCTGTGAGAATTGCAAGAAATAATTTCTGTGGAGCTCTTTAGCACAGTGCTGGTACACAGCAGCCTCTCACCAAGCGCAGGACATGATAATGATGAGCTCAGTAATTAAGGTGAATCATGATCTCCTCAAATCTCTTCTCTTGCAGTAGAGGGGGACAGGAGATGATGTGCCAGATATTTCTATTATCTCTATTAAGCTTCATGACAACTTTCCTATCAGCATGAGTGCCTCAGTAATCCCTGCAGCCTATTGGTAAGACAGAGTCCCAAGCACCCAAGCACTCCCCTAGTAAAGGAACAACCTGGGTTCGAGTCTATCTCTCATTCCAAAGCCCCTGTCCCCTCTCTGATGCCATCTTCTTGCAGCAGGACTAAATGGCTGAGAGGCCGAGGAGTCTCATTCCACTTCCCCAGCTCTCTCACCGTGTGATGCCAGGTAAACCCCTTTGGAGGGCTGCTCATTCCCCAACTCATTGTCCAGGGAATTTGAAGCAAGGAATATCTCAGTTTCTTTATAAAATATGGATGATTTTACCTGCCTTCCCTACTTCCCACATGTGTTTCAAGGTGCTTTCTCAAAAGAGATAGGGGAAAGTGCTGTAAAAGTTTAGTTAGTATAAGGTGGTAGTACTAATGAGTATATTCCAACAGCTGCCTCAATAGGAAATTATCAGATTTCATTTTGTCATTACCTGATCACCAGGAACACTTCCAGCTTTGCACAATTTCAATTAATTTCAGATTTGTCACTCCATTAAAAAATAAGGAGTGGGTTTAAAAAATAGTCATTTTCTATAAACACACAGTGTGCAAGGCAGACTGCATGATGGCCATAAAATTGCCTACATTTTAGCCAAAATGGCAAATGCTAATAAGTCTATTATGATTGACAGCTATTATGCAATTTCTTCTTCTGGCAAGGATTTCATATATGAATGAAATATTCAGTCCCTCACATAGTTATTTCCAATGGGGATAAGCTAGGGGTTTGGTGTGGAGGAGGCAAAGCCAGACTCACGGGCATAAAGGCTTCCTCTTCTAGCCTAGTTAAGCCTGGATAGATGAAGAACTACGGGTTGTGAAAGTGTATTCATTCTTTCAGGCCAGGAAAACAGTAACTGTAGCTACTTTCTTACTACATTAAGCCCTTTTAACAGTCATGTCATATACTTCTCAACTATACTGTGAGGTGGTTATTATTCCCCCCACCACCCATTTTTATTCCTTTGCTACCTGCTTGGTAGAGTTTCCCTCCCCTACCCACATATACCCTAACACGTATAGCCAGTGTCTCGGGTTCTATTATCAAAAACTACTCCCAAAACATTTTTTTAAACTTCTTGGGAGACTGAGGTGGGAGGATTGCTTGAGTTCAGGAGTTTGAGATCAAAGCGAGCTATGATAGTATCATGGCACTCCAGCCTGGGCGACAAAGCAAGGCCCTGATTCAAAAAAAAAAAAAAAAAAAAAAGTTGCTAAATGTGTCTACCTAAGTTACAAAGCATAGCTAAGTTTCAAAATGTCATCCTCCCTGATAGTAGAGGTTTTTGGTTTTCTAAGGAATTGCACAAAAGCTTTATTGGCATCTGCAAGCTGGGCTTGTGGGATGAGTGGTGGAAGGAAAAGAGATGGTACATTCCAGATACCCCTAAAATAATACCACCTACTTCACCCACACATGAAGCTGGCCCACCTATAGTGCAGTGTTTAGGTTGCAAGGGTTCCCAAATCAGAATGCTTATAGGAGCCAGGCAGGCAGCATAAATTGGACAATCAGGCCAGCTATAAGTAGAGCCTGTGGGAGACAAGGAAAATGCCCCACCTAAAGGCATTCAGGTTCAGTGTTCCTGAATGCCAGTGCCAGCCAAACCAAACACAGTGCCAGCCAAACAAATCTCATCCATGAGCTGGATTGAGCCCATGTTTTAAGGTCTCTAATAACATTCTTATTCATATCCAACATTTTGTTTGCACGCTGTCCTCACTCAGTGAGGAAGGCAGAGAAGTCCCATTTCACTGATGTGAAAACCAAAGCCCAGAGAGTCTGAAGCCACCCACTAAGCGCCAGATCCAGGACTCCTCTGGGGATCCCAGCTCCAAGTCCAGGGCTGTTTGATTTCACCTGGCCAACTTCCCGTCATAGCTGTGCATATTCTGATGGTGATTTCATGCCCTTTCACCAACCTGAACATCAATAGCCACCTCTGTAAATATGGATTACACCACAGGAACTCTACAGTCATTTCCGATTCCTTTATTATGTTGTTACTATTTTACTTCATAAACACAGTAGCATCTTTCCCCCTTTGTATCTAAGCCTTAATAGCAAATTGAGAGTATAAGGCTATCTCACTTTCAAATCAAGCATACAATTTGGTCACTGAAAGAATGATTTGGGCATCCAGTGTGCATCAGCTGGCAGACTGCAAGCTCCCAAACACTAGTATATCTGCATGTATCCCTAACTTGCTGTTGCAGGGGGATGAAG